GGGGGGGGAGGGGGTTGGGCAGAATGTTCAACATTTTCTAATTTATAAAAAAATATGATTTTCTGGCAGTTTTCTTTGTGTCATTGCTATTTTGTCCCCCTCTCACAACCAGATTTTTTTTTCATGTCATAACGAAATAGGTCCATTTAATGTTTTGATTGATGGAAGCAAGAGCCCCTAAYTCCTGGTGTTTCATGTATCAAATATATTATTAATAAACAACAAAAGTACCTTTTTCTGAGCACTCTTCTCAACTACTTCCTTTGCCCAGTCTTCAGTGTTATCTTCTTGTAACTTAAAACAAAACAATCAATAATGAATAATACGTCATGATTTGGGTTAAAGCTGGAGATGAGTGCAGTACCTGAATTCTCTCTTCAATCTCATCCATTTTTATTTTGAAATGATCAGTCATTTTGTCCATCTTGCTCTGGAGCTCAGATACTTTCTTTGCCTTTGAATCAACCAAGGTATCTACATGGTTGCATAAAGAAAGCAATTCAGTTATGGGACTCAAATGTAGAAATGCTCCAAAATAGAGTTAAAAATAGAAAAATAGAGTTTGCTGATATTCAACTACAAGGGGGGATAGAGTGAGGAATGGTCACGTAAAGGGTCATCAAGACGTTCTCTCTCTATTACCCCCTAACATGGTACACCTTCTTGTGCAACCATTAGCTTCACTGATTATGTAATTGTGTATGTAATCACTAAATTGCCAAAATAATTATTGTTTTACTCTTAACCCCTATGAATAACTACAGTATAAACAATTTTGAAATTAGGTTAAAAGCGCAAGTTAGCCATCAGTGACATGGTTTTCAAAACTGACACTTGGTTTCCGACACCCTTAGTGATCAATCACCAAATAGTCATGTAAGTTCCTGCAATTTCATAAACATACAAACTCCGTGTCTGCAAGTTGTACACTGAAAATTAGTTTTTTTCTCTGCCCCCAGTCAAAAATTTGAAAGGTACAGACTGATTAGACCTCTGCCCCCAAGGTTGACAAGTCAGTATTGACCCAAACCATGAGGGTTTCAGGCCTAAATTGTTAATAAATATGAATTGCATGAATATGTACCAATATTTTCTCTCAAGGATGAGAAATAACTGGTGTTCTTTCTTTGAAAAGAAGCAAGATTAGCCTCCATCTGAGCACTAACAGCCCCAAAATCTTCCTTGAAGGATTCCTTGACTCCCTTGTTATATTGTTCTACATTGGCCTTTCTTTCAATCTTTCCATGCAGACCATCGATATCAGTAATGCTCTCATTGACCACACTTAGGAGTTTGGATGCTTGGTCATGTAATACAGACTCTTGTCGTGCATGTGTATCAAGGAGAAACCCCCTCTCATCTCTTTCCACTATGGTCTTTTTCAGGTGGCGTTTGGTCACCTTTAGGCTTTTTTGGGTGGTTTCTAGTTCGCATTGGGTGTCAGTAAAGAGATCGTTGACTTTTTTCATCTCAGTTTCCAGGCCTTCAATCTTGGTTATGTACTCATTGATTAGAGTTTCCTGGGACTGGATCTTTCCCTGCATTGCACTAAGAAAACAATCAGTAGATCCATATTATTGCAGGTTTAAATACAGTATTATGAGAACTCATAGGTGGAAGCGGTAAGCTAAAATTAGACTTTTCACTGCACCCTCATCCAATAGGCCATTTCATGGATCCCGTTACTCAACCTCAGCCTCATCAGCACGTAATTATTCTTTAGAATTTGCCTACAGTCCGCAGTAATGAAAGCAATTTACACATCAACGAACAATTGAAACACTTAAAAATTTCACAGGTTGTAGGCAATTTCTAAAGAATATATTACACACTGGATCTGTGAAATGGTCTATTGCATCGCAATAATTAAATGTTTGATATCATTTTTAAAACTTACTCATAATTCTCTTGAGCCAGATAAACTCCATTTTTCTCTCTTGCTGCAATGAGGTCCTTTTTAAGTTTATCAATTTCTTCTGTGTATTCCTAATAACATTTATAAAATGTAAAAATAAAATCCTGATTGGTTGGGAGCTCGTGCTTTATGAGAGCACACAGCATGCACGCACCCTTTGCATTTTATAAAAGAAATAAAAAACTTGCTTGCTGTGCTGTGTTGTTATAAAGCACTTGGGGATTGGCAGAACACTCGAGAAGTGTCAAGAGAAGTGTCTCCTAACACTTTTAGACTTGTGTTCTGCTAATTCCCGTGTGCTTTATAACTGCACACAACACGAGCGTGAGTTTTCTATTTCTTCAATGCTTTTTTATGCTAATCAAAGCTTTATTCAAATTAATGTAAATCAAATATTTTACTTTATCAAAGCCCATAAAGAGATTATACCTGTATATTAAATGTGGTAATAATATATTCAATACTATAAACATAATTATGATTAAATATGATATATTAATCTCATTTTGTAATTATACTGAATACACTATAGGGTATACCTTGATAAGGGCTTTCTTGGTGAGTCTCTGGTTGATCTCAGGTCTATTCAGGATATTCTTGGCACGGTGAGCATAATCAAGAGTACTCATTGTTTCCTGATGAAAAGTTAATACAATTAATTTTGTACATAGTCAGATAACATGAACTGACTGAACAAACTTTTTTCTGGTTCAGTATTGTAAAAATCCTGCATTAGAATTGGCTGCACAAGTGGACAATATTTTCTATCTCTTTGAATGGTCCAGTATCCTGAAGTAAGGCTAAATTTCATTTGCGTGTTATGGGATAATGGATGTTAGATGACAATTGAAAAAAACTAATTGAAAAACAAGTGGAAAAGTAAATGGGAAAAAAAAAACTTTTGGGGGGGGGGGGGGGGGGGGAGAGTTATATGTACCAATTTAGGACCTAAATTGTGTCTGGTCTATTGGCCCTGGTCCGTATATTCAAGACTACTGGAAGTGTTTTCTTCTATCTGGACCTTCTGGCTGGTGAATGACATCATGGGATACATATTAATTACCTCAATGTTGCAGACAGCAGGGGATATAGTAGCAATGATAGAGGTTTTAGTTCTTCCACCAAGAGAATCTTGGAGCAGTCTTGTTAGTTTACTTTCCCTGTAAAAAGAACCAGGAGCATTACATTGGCATAAGTGTATGTAAAATGCAGCAGCTGGAACAATATTTGATTGCACTGTAAATTAACTCAGGGCCAACAGTCATGGCCTGACATCGGAGAGTGTTCGACCAGAATTTGAACTAGTCTGACAAGTAATATTAAGCCAGAAACAAGGTACTGCCACAGGGAATGTAAAGTAAACCAATCATATCAACCACAGGGAATCGATCACAAACCACAGGAAACCCATAAAGAGCAAAGTTACTTCTAATAGAAGCAATCAAGATATAGCGGGGTTCCCTGTGGAACTGTATGAGAAAATTAAAAATAAACAAGCAATTCTATTATTTTAAGCCCTGCTAAATACTACTTGTAGGAGTATTGAGGAGGTTTAGTGGTTGTCTATGGACACTCCCCTCTCCCAAATCTTTATACTATCAGCCCATGCAGAGGACCCTGTTTCCTACCTGTAAGGGATATGTGGTGCTCTCTCTACCAATGACGTGATCACCCGCCCAAGGGTTAGTAAGCTTTGGTTGATAGTGCCAGCTTCTCTAGCTCTTTTATCAACTGCACCAGATCTTCCAATGTTCTCGCTTCCTGCCAGATCAACCTGACAATGATGAAAGACAAACATGTTATCATATACAGTTGTTATTAATAATATATTTATATTTTATAGTTTTCAATCCATATAAAAAATATGTTTATTACAGTAGCTGGGTAATATTAATTTAGAATTAAGACCTCAACTTTCAGGTATATTTAATTATTCATTTGTTCCATTATTCAACAGATATTACTGTACTATACTAAACCGATTTTTAATACAAATCTAGCATCTGCAAACTATAGGGGCGACTTTGTGAACTTGTTGCACATTGTCCCCATGACTGATCACTGTTAGTGACTCACCAGGTTTAATTTTCCCGTCTTGAGTAGTTCTTCTCCATTAACAGAATTTTCTTTGATATGAATTGTTACTGAGAACAGTGAATGGGAACGACTAAAAAAAATAAATGGGAAAAAATCAGGTTAACTGTGATGTACAGTAAATGTAGCACAAAATAACTCAGGAATATTTGGAACTGGAATTATTGGGACCTCATTATTGGAACCTACATGTAGCTCTATGGGAAATCCCTGTGAGATATGCACATATTATTGTAAATTTCCCTTGATGAATCTCGTAAAATAAATCAAAAATAATATAGACTACCAACCTTGAATGTGCATTCATTAGAGTTGCTGCAGTTTGTCTTTTAGCTCTTCCTCTATCCAAGATGTTATACACTTCATCTTTGTTATGCACTACCATCTCTTCCAACCCCTGGATTACTACTGATCCCTAAACAATATTTAATAGTTGAACATGTACAGTAGATGAGCTATTGATAGCATATTAACTGAAGTTGATGATGGGAAAGGATTGAATGAAATCAATCAGCATGGGTGGCGTAGTGGTGAGACAGTGGAGTCATTGCTTGGTTCCTTCAGCTGTGCCTTGAGGGTTTCAATCCATTTTTTCCACCCTCCGCAAAAATCAACTTCTAAATACTGTGAAACCACTGCAGTTGATTCTCATCATTATTATTTCTTTTAATTTTTAATTGTTTTTGTAAAGAACACTGGTGGTACAGGATAGAACAACACGTCAAACAAACTCTTTTCACATGTGGATCACATCTAAGTCAGGAGTTGAACCCATAACCTAGCCCATAGTAGTGGTACTACTCAGACATACAGTACCTTCCTTGCTGTATCTTCAAAAAGCCGAAGTTTTTGGCCATCCAAATGTGGGCTCAGTAAGTCAAACAACTCTTCATTGTAGATTTCAAGGAAAGAGACTCTGACAGAAAACTCACACTCCTTTATAACATAAGGAAATGCTAAAGTAAGACACAATACAACCAGGAATACTAGACATCAAAAGTGTACATGTATGTACAATGAATTATATTTTACATGTATATTATACCATGAATAATATAGTTAAAGCTGGAACTCTAAAATGTACACTTTTTAAATTACAGTAACTTACATTTTGGCTGTTAAGTCTCTCAAGGAGTTGATGCATCGTTCTTGGTATAATACCAGCCAATGGATCCTAAAAACAGAATAAATTTTTACACTTCAGAGTCTGATAAAATTTATGGTGTCTAAATTGTACATGCATTAATCCATAAATTTATATGACAATTACTTGGCTTCAAACAAAAGTGCATACTGAAAAATGTGTCAATAAAAAGCAGTACAGAATTAAATAATAAATGATGCATGATTTAAGATTTTTTTATTATTTGGAGCTGAAAAACTAAACATCCAGCTGCAACTGCTTCAAGAACTAAAATAAGAGAAGCACTTTCACTAATCCTACCTCTTCCCAAGAGCAGTCTTCTATGCTCCTTTCACCCTCCATAGTAAAGGTTTTGCCTGTCCCAGTTTGACCATATCTGAATGATAATGATTGAAAATATGTGAGATCCATTCTCATATGCTAGTCTACTCATGTGACAAACTTAATATGATTAGGTTCAATTTCAAACAGTTTTAGAGTGATTGCTGCTTTAGACAGCAATAATTATTAAATAACTGTAAATGAGGCCTGTTGTGCGGAACGTAATTGGTCAATTTGGTACAACAAAAGAGTTAAGTTCAACAGGGCTTGCCTCTTTATGTGACACTGGAGCAACAGCTGATTCATATGCTGCTATTTCACTGACATGTACTTAATTCATCTTTTGGCTTCAGCACAAGATAAGAATAGAGCAGAATACAGCCCTAACACTGATGGCACATGTACTGTAGTACTCTTCAATGGATAGTGTTGTGGCAATTGATGCAGGATAAGCAATGATTTGTACCTTTCACAATGAATGATTGAAACATCAATACTTACGCAAATATAGTGCAGTTATAACCCAACAAGACTTCGTCTAATGTCGGCTCTACAACACTTTTATAGACATCTATTTGCTTGGCATCTGGGGGGAACACCCGGTCAAAGGTGAACGTCTTGGTTGTGGAAGCATTGTTACCAATGTCTTGCTTGACTGTTATATCTCTCTTGTGCGCATCGCATTCTACAACTGTGGGAGATCCTTCTTTTATTTCCTTTGCATTACGCGGTCTAAATAAAATGAATACAGATCATAAGTACTGAATCACATTCCACAAGAAGTGAAGGAGAGTAATTCTTGATCTTCTTTGCATTATGTGGTATGGATAAAGTGAATGACAAAGCTTATGAACATCGACCTTTTCTACAAATTAATAACAGCAGATGTTTAATGAATGTTCAGCCATACAGTAATATTGGCACTTGTCCAACCAAACGCCTCTCAGGCCAGTCCTCTTGACTGATCACGAGACATTCCACAACTGAGGAGGAGCCCTCTTCGATATCCCAGGGTCCAAGAAGGAGGTGGGACACTTTTTCCCTTTTCCCAAACCGGTCTCTTACAATATATTTTCTAATCTTTATAGACCCCACTTTTTGCTACACTAGTGTCAATAATAGACTTCAATATAATTTTTAATTTCAATATATTAATGTAGTTAAATCAAGAATGCAAATCACTGCTTTATTCCGAAAAGAAATGACATTTAAAGCTGTTGAGGACTGTTGAGTGACTGTAATAAAATTCTATTTTCTTTACAGCTGTAAAAATCTTTCAGCTGTAACTGAGTTCCCTATTTGGCGCTTCAAATATGGAACTTCGGAGATTACGACCGTCATTAACACTCGTACAACAACATTCTAATGTCCAATAAACATCATAAGCTCTTTTGACACCCTTTCATCAATGCAAAATGAACCTTAGTTTGTCATAAAAGTATAGAAAAATAGATATTTCTGTTTAAACTCATCACACGTAGATGAGCTAACCACATATAACTAACCCCAACCCGTATAAGAATTCGTTCTGACTCACCTACAACGAACGGCCACTTGAATGTTTTTCTCTTGTGGCGGCTTACTTTTCACCATTCTCGTTAAAAAAAATAAACCTTACTATTAAGAAAACGTTAATAACGCTGTTAGCTTTAGAAAATCGTCTTTGAAGGAGTCTAAAGTCTATTTTTTCAGATGCTTTGTCTTCAATATTTTCTAACGAAGAAAGGAGAAGCTTTTTTCAAATTTTGGAGCCGAAGATCGTTCATCTAGAACCAACCAATCAAATCCCACCATTAACACCACGTGACTCAGCGACAAAGTACCCAGCATGCTTCACGAGCTAATATTTCAACAACGCGATGTTTATTGTCAGCGGATTCACGCAAAATTTACCCAGTGGAACTAAAAATAAGAATATTTTTCCCAGTTTTTTTGATGTTTTGATTTTTGAAATCAAAGAAAATGTCCTTCTTATATCCAAATGTACAGGGTACAGAGCTACCCAGAGAAAGAAGTGGACATGTGTCGGTGTACTGGAATGGCTTTATAGTCATCTGGGGTGGATACAGGGTAAGTTATATAATTTCTCAAAAGACGTGCAAGTTCGTAAGGTGTAAACTTATTTATATTAAATTTAAATGGTTCTGTTCTGTCATTGAATTTGGTCAGCTGATCCTGGCTCTTCCATAAGAATCGTAAACTACCTGCTTTAACCCACCTTCAAATGAAATTTGGACTTTTTATCGTTTTGCAGAAAGTACTTATATTTATGTAGTATTTTTTGTGTTTACATATTGTATTTCGTCTTTTAGGATAATCAAGATGTGCAGCTTCCTCATTTCATCCAGGAAACATACCACGATAGTGTGGAATTGTGGCTATTTTGTGTTGAGTCACTCACATGGTAGGCTGTCACTCATTTGTGGCTCAATAGCATAAAGTCATATATAAGACTTCCTAATTCATGAGTCATGATCATGATAGATAGTGTTTCGCGTTATAGACCATGTGTCATTTTCTTGAGATAAGGATTCTTGTTTGATCATGAGTCATGAGATCATCATCCATATTTTGCTTCCCTGCTAGCAGAGTCTCTCTTCTCTCTCTCTCCCTTCTTTCAGGCGGGGAGGTAGGAGACCCTGCCGATGTAGAGCGTTTCCTTTGATACACCGCCGTCCACAGTCATGGAGTTTTAAAACTGGTTTTTAACCAATTACATGTAGTGCACATGAGCAAATGTAACACACTGTGGCGCCAAACACTGTTTGATGAGAGCGGCTGTCAAAATCATGACAGCGTTGCTAAGTTACGGCATGCATGCACGACAGAAATAATGTCCTACATCGGCAGAGTCTATTTTTCTCTCTCAACCAAAACAAATGGAAAATAGGTTCTGCTAGCAGGGAAATATTTTGCAGGATCTCTCTGAAAAACACCTTCATGATGAGAGCTTCCTGTTTAAACGTTGTTGTTGTTGTTATTATTATTGTTATTGTCATTATTATTCATCTGTCTGTTCTCATACACAGCCGTTAAACAAAGAATTACTCTAGGGAAAGACAAAATAAATGAATATTGAAATGGAAGTACATGTATATGATTATCCACTAAATAAATTTGAATATATTATTAATTATAATTTGTGCAGGAGACSTGTCATTACCAGAGGAGATGTCCCGCCACCCCTGTCTGGTAGCTGTGCTGCATGCATAGATAATGTAATGTATTTGTTTGCAGGACATTGTGATAATGGTCCAACATCTAAGGTAATGTACACTTGTATAATAGACTACTTTGATGGTATGGTGGCCATCTTGGAAGGCAAGTCATTAATGGGCATCCAGGAGGCATATCTACAGCTTATGTGAGGCTTGATGATATGTTTTTCTTTATATGACCAACATTATTACGGCCAAAGATGGCCTTTAACCATTGAAAGAATCAGCAAAAACATGAAGCTATATATTTTCTGCATATTTGCCCTCTACATGCCCCATAATGCCTTGTGATCCAAGATGACCACTGTATCGTCTAAGTTTTATTATTTTTGGTTAATGTTTGGTTTTTGTCTTTTTTGTTTTCAGGTCTATATGCTAGATTTAAAAACTCTGTCTTGGAAAGATTTGAGTGGCTTGGTGAACAGTGATTATCCTCCTTCATCAAGAGACAAGTTATGCTGCTGGCAGCATAAGGAATTGTATGTACAATTGTACTGTACTATATATTTATACACAGTTTCAAAATATCCGAAAGATCATCCCTATAAGGAAATCTTTCAGTACTTATTATTTTTATTATATCACATACATGTATCTGCTGGTCTTATTCAACACGACATTGACAAAGATCCTTACTTTAGAGACCTATGGTTTGGGGTGGCCAATCTTTTGCAGCTGCATGTCCTTTGACAGCGTCAAACAACTAAAAGGGCTGACTAAACTATGAATGGTTGAGCCTACATTTTTGAGCCCTGTAAGTTGTACAGCTTGGGACACCAGTGTATATCAAGCTACATGTATGAGCAAACAATATTTTGATTCCATATAACTATTGGAAATTAGTAATAGACATGATCAGCTTGGGTGTAGTGTTTTTGCTGTTCAAACCATGTGTCATTCCCTAGAGTTTCATTTCTTTGTATAATGGTTATATATGACGATGATATCGATACATATCATGATTATAGATGGATACAACTCAAACAAAGAACCTAATTCTCTAGTATAGGGGATGATATGTGGTCTAAGTAGGAAAACATTATTACCAACCAAGCAGAAAAGGTTCATTTTTAGTTTATATAAACAGCTCTAAAATTAATTCATAATCTAATGTTTTCTGTGTTATTGATTTTTAATTATAATAGTCTCATATTTTTTGGTGGTTATGGAACTCCTCCACAAACATTTGTTGGCAATGAATGCTATGGAGAGTTTGTTTATAACTCTGTTGATTTTTTTGGAGTAAGTATTAATATTTAGCATGCTGTACTTTTAACTACCACAATGACATGTACATGAACTAGTATAAATTATCCTTACCCCCACCCCCAAAGAGGAATTTTTTTACTACCCCTGGAAATTCCAATTTTCTTCAATAAAAACTCTGTAGTTTTGTTCTTTCTCTGACCCCTCCCCCCCAACCCTTTTGGAAATTCCAAATTCCTCTGTGGGGGAGTATGGATAATTTCTGGAGCTACAGAATTCCATTTTAAAAAGACTTTTTTATTGATTTCCTAGGATAACAGAGGATGGAATAATAATGTCTTTATCCTGGATACATTAAAAATTGAGTGGGTCAAATTAAAAATAAAGGTGAAATTTATGTTTTTGTCAAGCAGTTCTCTCATGTTCTGCTTTAGCCTTCATTTCCTTGAGGTTTCCGAGGGGGATTGGTTTCTGAGGGGGATTGGTTTCTGAGGGGGATTGGTTTCTGAGGGGGATTGGTTTCCGAGGGGGATTGGTTTCTGANGAGGGGGATTGGTTTCTGAGGGGGATTGGTTTCTGAGGGGGATTGGTTTCCGAGGGGGATTGGTTTCTTAGGGGGATTGGTTTCCGAGGGGAATTGGTTTCTGAGGGGGATTGGTTTCCAAGGGAGATTGGGGATTGCAGGAATGCTTGCAATGACGGCTAGTTCTTCTTTTCTGTATGACACACAGTACATTTGTCTATACAGTATATCTTTATTCATTTGAGCTTCAGTTTGGAAATAACTACAAAGGGTCTAAGAGCCTATTTTCTTAATTTCTGTGGTTAGCTCAAACTGATATGCACCATGATTTACTCTTAAATGGTATTTTTGAAAGAATTTTTTTGTTCTTCCAGGGAGATGGACCATCACCACGAGCTGCCCATGCAACAGCTAAGCTTCAATCCAAAGCTTATGTATTTGGTGGCAGATTTATGGTCAGAGTATATATTGTTAATAATGATTAATATTATTTGAAATAACATTAAATATTATTCAATTAGTATTTTTCTCTATTATTATTATTATTATTGTAAAAATAGTTAAGATATTCAACATATAGTTGCTGATGGCCAAAATTATATGTAGCTAGCTTCTTTCTTAGGTTTCAAAAGCCCTTTTTTATTTTGATGATTAAATGATCTAACTAATTATTTTAGGGCGAAAGAAGGAATGATCTCTATTGTTTAGACTTGGACACCTGGCAGTGGAGTGGGAGGTTTGTAATTTACTTCTTGTTTTCAAACAGAAGTTATGCACTAATTACTGTAACAATCCTGTATTTTGTTTTACATCTAGAAAAAAACACCTTATAGTGTCCATGGGTTTTATTAATAATTTCCTTATTTTATTCCATCAACAGTCTCCATACAACTGGGTGTGTCCCTGGAGGAAGGTCATGGCATTCTTTAACCCCTGTTAGTCAAAGACACCTTCTTTTATATGGAGGTTTCAATAATAGTAGAGAACCTTTGGGTAAAGTATTATTTGTTATAAAGCCTAAGACTAGTTAATCATGAGAATGTAGGCCCAACAACATTTCTATCCATTCTCTCTACTCGCATGAGGGAGGAGGCTTTTGATAGACAGTGTTCTTGACATCTTCCAGAAATAATGTGTGCAACATGTGCAATGTGCATAATGTAAATTATAAAGCAACAATGCATGTTACCTGATGCCACAGGGGCAGATCCCTGGTTCGACTTTGTTTCCCCTATTCGAAGATAACCAATACTGTTTTATCCCTTTGATTCTAAGGGGTGCACCCATCCCTAGGTTAACTTTGTGCACAGCACCCCTGAACAAAATCCTGGATCCACCCCTGTGCCATATGATAACCTACTGTACGTGCAGGCATCTCTCTTTTTCTCTCTGACTCTTACTCTCCTATTAATGAATTACGTAAGTGAGTAGACCTGTCAGTATTCCTCATTTTCAACAGAAAAAACAGATAAAAAACAAAAAGACAGAAGATACAAACTGGGAGACAATACCATGTTTATGCAACAAGCTCTTAGTGCTTTTGTATTAAAAATATCGTGCTACAATTTGCATGATTTTGTTGACATTACATTACTGGCCCTTCTCAAGTTGCGGACGCACAGTGTGGCGTTGCTTGAAACATTGCATGCAACATTGGGCTGTGTGACACCCAAAAAAAGCAGTTTTCATTCAGTGTTGCAAGCAATGTCGCTTTGCGTTACCTTTAGGGATTGGGGTGGGGTGAAGATGGATGCTAATTATTGTTTTGAACAAGGAAATTTGTGAAGTATTCATGATTGTATATCTGACTTTTTAGGGGATGTTTACCTACTTGATACAGATTCTCTCACTTGGTCCAACATTACACCTGAAAACACATTACCCAGGTAATACAATACAGCAATGCGATACTCAATTTGTTTCAATTTGTCCCGCCGGGTTTGGGGTTTGTTGGTTCTCTCCTGTGCTTCAAGGGTTTTCCTGGTTTTCCTGGTTCTCCGGTTTTCCTCTCTCCGCAAAAATCAACTCCTAAATTCCATTCACTCATGGAATGAGGGCCACAGGTTTGTTAGCCACTGGCTATTAAGTGCTACCCTCGTGAAAAAAGGACGTTATTAATCTCTTGTCGCAAATATCAAAAATTAAGGCTAGTAACAGTTCTCTTGTCTGCATGCTTTTCACACTCTACTCAGGTTGTGAACTTTTCATGAACTAATTCATTAAAAATAAAGGAAATTTTAAATATCTATTATATATATATTTTAAAATTATGATTAGAATGTGGCTTCGACTTATGAAAGGAATTTGTGCAACGCCTGCTCTTCACTGTAACATTGATTTCTCATTATTTTTCCTGTTTTTATTTATTTTTAATATCTATTATTTTTTTAATCTTTTCATTATTAGAATGTGGCATACAGCCTGTGCAACGTCAACACCAGGAGAAGTAGTAATATTCGGGGGATGTTCCACTTCCCTTCTTGATGATGCCGAACCTGTAAGTACTGTACTTCTACGTGCCAAACGATATCAATAAGACTTCATCATTCGGAGCCTACTTTTTGATGCCAGCTGAGTTGACCGCGTTCACCGAAAGGAATTATGGGTCAACTATTCTGGGTTAGCATTTTCTGAGCAGGGACTAAGTACAAATTTCTCTTGTCGATTGAAATGGGATTCCGTTACGAGTTCGACTAGCATTTACGATCAATTTGTAGAATGGTAGAATCATGGGAAATGCTAATCAAAATACAATGTTGAATCCTCAATTCTGATTGGTTGACCTTGAGTTTGTTCTGAAAGTCAGCTGATGGTAAAGCACCTCTTTTCGGTTACATGGCCATATTCCTTGCAAATAAGATGGAGTGAAGTAGTTTTAACATCGTGCTTTTTGTTATTTTTGCAGCAACACTCCAACAAAATCATCATATTTAGATTTACAGCTCTCCCTCTAAAAAGGTATTTGTCTACATGGCCTATATTGTTACTTAATTTGTCACTTTAAAATGATGAAAGGTAGGTGCGTAACAGTAAAAACTGGGCGATAAGCAAGGCTAGCAACTAGCAAGAGGTGACCATGGCAACGTCGCCACGGGTTAACCTCGGCAACTGTCACACTTTATTCACAGTGAAGCTGTTTATATTTACCACGTCTAGTCTCCAGGGAGGAGTTGTTATCTGGTAAGGATTTTAAGTATGTTTTTTCAGTCGAAATAATAAGATCATTTTATTGTTTTTTTGATCGTTTTAGCATTTGCATAGATAAAGTACTGAGTCATCATCCGTTGTCAAGTCAACTCAAGACAATCCCGAAGTCATTACTGCGATCTCTCATACCATCAAGACGATTAAACACTATCAAGCCCATCTAGTCCAAGTTGTAAAAGTACCTTAAGTGTAAGGCGTGCTGTACCAAGAACGTTAACTAATACCAACAAGTTCTTCCTTGATGTAAGGCTTGTTATAACACCCAGGTAATAATGTTCCTCTAGTATTCTAGGGACGTTAATGCAAGATCTGTTGCATCACCAAAGCGAATTAGTACCCAAAGGGATATCTTAAGGGAACTTTAATGCAAGGACTGCCATACCAGAAGTTTATCTTCTAAGGAACCTTATTTGCAAGGTCTGTTGCATCAACAAAGCGATTAAGTACCAGAAGACATATCTTTAGGGAACTTTAATGCAAGTGCTGTTATCCTAACGAAGCGATTATGTACCAGAAGTTCATCTTCTAAGGAACCTTATTGTAAGGTCTGTCAACATCTAGGTGAAAAATGTTGCTATTGACTATAGCTTGTCAAGGTACCTTCATGCTAGATATGATTCTTCTATTAGAACTTTTAAATCATTCAGCAATATATATATTTCCAAAAATCCCCACGTTAAATAAAATCGTAGTTAGGTTTGGTTGGATTCAGCTTAGATTATTTACACAAAGTACCACATACTGAACAAACCAATAAACAACATAAACATCGAAGGAAACAGGACACGTGATGCCCTGTCAATGTAATGGATGCTTTGGTCTTCCTTTCGCTGATTGGTCACCTGCGTTCTGACGTCACAGTCGCCTGATTCGTCGATTCCACTGACGCAGCCTAGGTTAGAGAAGTCCTGGAAGTTTAGTTCATGTTTTCTTGATTTTCTTTCGTTGTTTTTCTCGTTTGTACGAGTTTCGTTGTTGATATCCTACGGATAAAAAGAAAATCAAATGATTGTAGGAAAGAAATACTTGATTTACAAACATCAAGGTTTTACATCAAAGTAGTTGTTGTACAATAACTTTTGCTATAATTGTATAAAAGTAGTGCTACAAATGTACAAAAATTGTATTTAACGTCTTTTACTAAAAATATTTTGAGTGATAAAGGCCCGTGTGTTTGGTAGTAATACTGGAAGACAGGCCATAAAAGAAGCATTGCCGTTCCCTCCGAAAAGTGCCTGCTTTTGTGCAACACTTTCGGGGAAGTTTATAGATGGAGATCTCGACCTTAACTTTCTTGTTTGTTATTGTGTTGTTTTTCTGTCATAACTATGTGATGTATTTTTACCTCTTTTTCTTCTGTACTTGCTGAAGTGGTCTGGTTTACTTCTGATTTGGTTGGTTTGTCAGAGGAAACGTTCAGCACGACCACGAATTCAACTAGGGTCATGAAAATGAATGATAGGCATCCCAGGAGATATGCGTCCATGGCTTTCATGTAACTCACCTTTGAATAGGCAAAATGCATTGACTAATTAAGAAATATTAACGTGGGGAAAATGCGGAATGTTCCGTGAGTGACCCGTATAAGTGGCAGGGAACAAGGAGGGGGTTCAAAAGTAATTTTCTGTTATGAGTGGCCTACTACCTCGTCGTAAATCGCAATCATACCTTGGGCATATGTGAATTAGCAGTACTTGTAAGTAAGATAATAGACAAGATAGTGGTAATACACAATGAGATACGGGTGGGTACAGCCTTGGACGATATCCACAGAGAACACCATGACATGAGTGTTAAGATGGTGGCCCCACCCCGTACTTCGTTGTTGTTAATCGCAATCATACCTTGGGCATATGTGAATTAGCAGTGCTTGTAAGTAAGATAATAGACAAGATAGTGGTAATACACAGTGAGATGCGGGCGGGTACAGCCTTGGACGATATCCACAGAGAACACCATGACATGAGTGTTAAGATGGTGGCTGGTGCGAACACCGTCATAATGAAAAACTCTAATCGACGCTTGAACGAGAACGTAGCAAACAACGTGGAATAAGTACCTGAAATCCAAAGTACTGCATAAGATTACTGAACGAACCTTGATACTAAATCGACGACGTCAAATTTCGATGTCAAATTTTGAAGTCGAACAGTTGGACCGGAAATGACTTTGAACTGTCCCTCTGTGCACTTGTGCTTTGCACAAGCTTTGCACAAAGTGTCACTGATTATTGTTTCATAAATACCAATTATTATCATCATCATCATCATCATCATTATGTTCATAATAATAATTATTATTATCATTATTATTATTGTTGTTGTTGTTGTTGTTGTATCATCACTCAGGGGCGGCGGAAGCTGAAAAATTTTAGGGGGGCACTCCAATATTTCACGGTACCTTGAAATGACCCCCCCCTCCCTGTTTAGCTTGATTACAAACGTGTATGTGTGATATTTCAATCAGTAACATTTTGCGCGCATTAAACCACTTGCAATTGTGCTGAGAGACACAAAAATGATGCAAGTCGTCGCTAGATATATCGTATATTTTTTTAGATACAGAAAATTATGTAATATCAAAATAATAAATAATGGTAATCATAACCAAATCTCATGCGTTTTTTTTKTGTGTGTGTGAGGCATTATATTCTGGGGGGGCCAGGCCCCCCAAAAAAATCTAGTGGGGGGGCCAGAGACCCCCTGCTTCCGCCGCCCCTGTCACTCTATAATCCCATATATAAGCAGCTATTGTATTATTTTCAAATTCTTTTTCATTTGGATCGTTTCCATTCGCATTCTTTCGAGGGAAAACTATCCAATTTGAAATTAATTGAATTCAAAAAATTTCTCTGTCTGCCAAATTGGACTCGGCCTATAGACCTTTCCAATTTTGTCAGTCCTCAGAATTTTTTTCTTCAAATTATTTTCAAATTGGACAGCATGGAGTCCTATTACCTATACTTATTGTTGTTGTTGTTGTTGCTTTTCGCCATCTCTACTTTTCTCTCGATTAAAAGTGAAATCGTCGAGAATTTAAAAGAAAAAAGTCACCATCGTAGATAAAGGCATTTTTTGAAAGTAAAAAGCAGATTTTATAATAATGCTAAACCGAAAATAGGATTGCGATTATTCCCGGTTTTGTCCAATCGTGACATATTTTGCCACATATGCAGTCATATGTACTTAAATTACCTGCTATTTTCTTAACCAAAGTGTTTTCTAATTTGGCTTCCAAAAGAAAAAACTGCGCTGTCTGATTGGACGCCACTTCTATACCATGTGTCCTATTACGATTCCACTTGTATACGACGTCATCTTCTGTGTATGCGTCTGGTGAGAGATTTTGAAGTCAAGGCATATAGTAGGCTTGGTTACAGCCGTTAGGTTGTCGTTTGTTCCCAAGCCTTCCCCAACTAAGAGGGGAAGAGGATCGCGGGCGCACCTAAACCACCACAGCTGGAAATAAATCGAGCCTAGAAATCTGGCAAATAAATTGAAATCTAAAACTGTCGGAACGGATCTTTTAATACGAAATATTTCAAATTTCGGAGTTCGACGACAAATCTTTTATCAGGTCGGTTTTTGGTCATGTACCAGTGTTAAGTGGGGGAGGGAAAGGCTCCAAAAGAGGATGGGAAGCTGAAAACCCTACAGAGGTATAATAGCCCATTTCCAATATGCCATTTGCAATTTTCCCATTTCAGACCACGTGTCATTGCCCAGAGTATCATTTCATTGTTAAGCGTTTACGCATAAGAAGACACATGAATATAAATATTACTCAAACAAAGCCGAATCTTATTCTCAAGAGAATGACACGTGGTCTGAAAAATGGGCAAACATTACGTCCAAGGTAAAGAGGTACCGTATATACTTACGGCTTTCCACGATAAACGGGCAATGTTGTATATCAAAGGGATAAAGACGAAGATCCATTTCACAGCGTAACAACAAACTTAATCTAATAAAGATAAATGGAAAAAAAATCAATATTATAACTGCAATTTTGCTTTTAATTCTATCTCATAATGATTCGCATGATTCATAGACAAAGAATCCGTAGGGAACGCAAACCGACATGAAGAGTTTAAAATATGATCTGTAAATTTCCTAAATCTGTTTCTTTGAGCATTTAGACCTGCGTTCATGAATGCCTCAATTCTTTTCGGAAACTTGATTTTTACTTTCTCTAAAATGTTGTCTTACTATTCTCATGAGGGGATACAAATTTAAATAAGGAAGAAAATTTACGAAGCATTATGGAAGTGGGGGTCAAATGAAGCCATCATACAAGCGTCCAATTTCATCAAAGCCGGTATAACCTACTGACCTGACACTGTAATAAATGCTTCCATTAGGCCATAGTATAAGCCTCATACAGTCCCCTATCACTTTATGGTATTCAGACTTTTTTGAGTTCAAGAAATACGTATCAGGGATCCAGATAATGGAAGACGCGTCCAATGAGAGTGTTATAGGTTGGGAGAAGTTGGATTTCAATCGAGTGTCAATCCACCAGTGACGGAAAAATATATCCAGCGAGTAGCTCTATGAAAAAAACGTTGCAAAGATTCTCTAAAGATTCTCTATTTCGCAGTAGAAGGAATGGATACCCTAATGAACAGGCCACGTGGCCATTTCCCGCCTTACTCAAGATGGGCCTGGGATAACTTTTTTTTAAAAATTTTCAGTGCATTTTGACTTTTTTTCTTCGTACTCTACTCATATATGATGTTGGGACTTGGGATCCAGGACGTTCATGGGCACAACGCGTGTACGCTGATAGCCGCAGCATATTAACCGTGCACATCACCCATGCTTCTCAAACTTTACCTCGATCGCGAGCACTTCGAGATTCTCGAAGAGAAAATTATCGAGGAAATAAGTTGCATAGTAGTAGTAGTTAGAAAAATTAAAATAATATAATATCCTTACCATTTCTGCCTCATTTATTTCACCTATTGAGCCAACTTTAAATTCGGCTCTTATTTCCACTGGTTTACCTAAAATATCAATGGACAACAATAAAATCTGCATGCTTTTATTGGTATCGATATGGGCCATACTTTAGCGGAAGCCATGTATTTTCATACTTTGTTTAACAAGCATAAATTTATTCTCAATCGCTTGAATGGGAGGCTACGCCCTTGGAAAGAGCAAACGAACAAGCGAGCAAACGAACGAGCGAGCAAGCAATAAGACAAAATGAATAACGGAACGGACGAACGAACATGAGGTAGATGGAATTCAAATGAACAGAATCTATTTTTCTCTTCAACAAGATTCTGACTTATGCAGCGCTGCTCTAAATCTGATATATTATTATCGATCAGTTCTCTGTACGCAAAACGCACCTAAGGATATTATTGATTCGTCGGTCTAATTTCATTAAGTTTTACATTGAACCACTTTGTTAGAAACTAAATTTTCTTCATATAGATTCTTTTAAATCATTTACTTTATTTATTTTGAGAGGCCTTTTTCACACCTGTCACGTGTACACATATTCCCTGCTAGCAGAATCTCCCTGGTTTGTGATTCTTGGCAGAGAAAAAGGGAGACTATCATATCAATTCTGCCAAGAATTGCCACGGAACGAAGGAGACTCTGCTAGCAGGGAAGTGCACATGATAAATGAACGCCAAAAGCTGCCAAAAGGTTTGTGCAAAGCTGGCTTGGTTGTGATGTTTTACAAGCGTAGCTATTTTGTTAGTTTGTCGGTGATTTGAAAATTAATCATTTATAAGCAAAAACTCGAACTCCAAATATACAGTAGTCTAGGTTTGCATTTTTCTCTTTGCGCGATCTATAATCAAATATGATATGATACTCGACTCGGAATATTATCTTTGAAATTTGTTCGGCTTACCTCCAGCGTTTGGACGTAACCTCTTATCATAAGTCTTTAAAGTTTGTGTTAAATGAGCTGAAATTTCTGGAATTTCCTTCGTCTTCGTATCCCAATCATCTTCTCCCCTTTTATTGAATTAATATTATCACATAAAATAAGTATATTGAATATGATAATAAAATTTGTGTCTTTTAATGATTATTTATTAAATGAAGTTAGAAAATAGTTTATCAGACTCGTTATATACGGTTGGGCATTTGGATATTTTCTATTTCGTAGTGTTGGTACGAAAGTAATTTTATGAGAAAGTCAGTCACATGATCAAGCACCGCTGGCGACTGGGGGAGAGGGGGAGGACGGAATAGACACTCTCCTTTAGTGTTTATAATGTAAAAACTTTGCAACTCCCACGACCTTATTCGCCCTGGATCCCACCCTGCTGTGGTGAAAAAAAATTAAAGTTTAAGCCACGCGAATTCCTCAAGCCATAGTACATGTGTATCTGCTAACTAAGAAACACTTAAAGTTCGTTAAATTATATATATGATTTACGGCAAAAGATAGAAAGCAAAAGATGGAAATATTTATATTTTGAATATTCATGATGAGCAGTTAAATTGATTTCTGAACTGCAGAAATGAAGAGAAATTTTCATTTTATTTTATTACATTTTTTTAATTCGAATATGAGTAAATACTAGAATATCATTGTAGTGATTTAACCGATATAAAATATAAGAAAGTCAAATCTTACTGACACTGTTCAGGATTATAATTATAAATTAGGAGAAAACCTACCTTAGACTGTTCACGGCAGTCATCAAAATGACAATCCAAAAACCATTCTCAAATGATACCTTCATRATTTACATGCAGCACAAACGTAAAAAATTTCAAACCAAGCTATTCTTTCCCACACTAGTTTAAACTGGAAGCACTGTGCATTAACTATGAACCCGAACAAGCATAGCAAACACTTCTGTAGGTTCTCGTAGATTCGAACAATTGTGTAAAATATAAAATATTTATCAATGTTGATAGTGAGAGACACCTTGATATATTAGGATTTATGTTTTAAATTCGAAATTAATGACTAAACCTTGTTTTTGGTGAAATTGAATTTCGGCAAGTGATTCGCAAAAAAAAAAAAAAAGGAAAAAAAAAGGTGTAGTTTACACTCTTTCTTCTACATGCATTTTCTTTGTTATTTATGCTTGAAATTTTTTTTATTTATTTTATCAATAACTCACGGCTGCACGCATTTGTTTCTCAATTTACTATGGGACCGGAGGCGGATCGCAAAAGAAGGTTGATATGGCCGGTTTGCACCTCACCCGGTGGCACGGGTGCGAGTTTTTCGTATTGTTATTTGCACTTTAATTCGTAATATTGAAAAATATTATAATGATATGATCTCTCTACGCCGGCTACAACACGGCAAGCAGTCCGAAAAGATATCCAACTTCATTTCCCAAGACTCGAATAATATATTTACTGCAATAAAAACAATATTTTGAAGGGAGATTTGAGTCTAAAATTTCCCTCTATATATTGTCTTTTATTGCAGTTCTTTCTGACAGTCGTTAAAATGCTAGTCAACGAACGAGACCTCAAACTTCGTGGACACATACAAGTCGAACAGTCGATTGAAGTGCAGCCCTTCTTTAAAATTGAGAGTGAATTTGTTAAAAGTACGATCCTAATACATTCTGGTACCCAGACCCTTCCCACCAAAATATCGATTTCTCGTTAGAAAGCTGAGAAGGCTTTGTGTACGAGAATAGATCTGATATTCCAAAGGGATACTACCCTTCCAGCCAAATTTTTTTCCAAATTATAACGTCCTTAAGACCCCTTATCCATTATATGTATTTCTGCAGTAAAAATTTACCATGTTTACATCCTAGTCCCTTGGTACCTTCATGGGTCTAATAATACTAATGCTATTCATGTAACGTCAGGTGATTTTTTTCCATTTAATTTCTTCATAACAAAATCCAACAGTTATACTGTAGTTGACTAGTTGCAAATGACGCCCTAGTGTGAACTAATCATGTCATATATATGTGCTGTGCGAATAAGAACCCTACTCGTTCAACCGCGTTTACATCAAATCATTTGCCTGGGAAAATGCCACACGAAGCACAAGCATTGTCTATCATTTCTCTCCTTTGCTTTGTAGGATTTGCTTGCGGGTTCTCCGGTTTTTCTCCCTCCACCACGTGCAATAAATGAATCAACTCCTAAATTCCAATTCAATCTTGCGTCGAGTGCTTTATCGATTAATTACTTCTTGCGTGTTCGACGTCAAATGAATTAAATTTATGAGAAATGTTCTACATTTACGATATTTTCAATAGATTTTTTTGTGTGTGAGATATTAGTTGGTTTGTTAGTAGTGAATCATGCTGGGGGCCTTATGATCTCGCATATAACAAGATCCATTCTGGAGGTAAAAGCCAAGCAAGTGTTTCTTAATTAAACCTTGATGTGTTTTATGACACTATGCTGGGGGTATATACATTGGTCCAATTCAGTCGTGCAGACGTCGTCGCCTTTCTAATCAACGTATAGACTGGAAACAAACCCGTGATATGCATTGGATTATGGGACTGCTTTTGTGAACGAGACCAAAAAGCTCCTTCATCTTTCGTCCCACAAACCTTTGCACCACGAAGTCGTTTCTAGTCTTCCCTGGCTTTAAACCTCGGAAAAGCGGGTGAGGTTGCTTGGAGAATGTTGTCTATTCTAGACTCATAACAAATTGCTTAATTGTTTTTGAATCAGAATCTGCATCCATAAAGTTCAGTTCTCATGGATGGCCACTCGTGGGCTTCTTTTACAATGATGCGCACGAACCGGGCAACAATTGGAACCAGAATGTCATTTGTCACAACCGTTGTTTTGTCGCTGTTGCCAGGAAAAACCTGAGGATGTTAAGTTAGTTGTAGTTTTTAGTTATTGACTACTGACAATAGCCAGCGTGCAGCAACGACACAAACCGTGTTCTCTAGACTAAGACCCCACGCCCCCGCGTATGGATTCGAAGACCAAATTCTAATTGGTTATAACTAAAGCAGTTTCCGATTGGTTATCAGAGCCTTCGTTTATATTATTCAGTCTTTGCTGAAATCAAAATGGCGAATTTAGCGAGGACTTGTGGAACGAAGCTTTTTCAGCTGTCGAATCTCAGTTTGAACACAGCTGTGCTGCCTCCTTCTCTATGTCCTTTACATCGAGAGCTGTGAGTTCTTTCTTAAGAGAGGACATTTCCAAGCTACATTGCGATCTATTTCATAGGTTCCGCAAACCAGCATGTTGTCCAGAACTCTAAGACTTAACAGTTAGTTAGTTCGGCTGCACGCAGGCTATACTGACAGTTACAAATAGGCCTTTGCAGTTTCTATAAATAGGATGCATTGGGGTCTGGCTTCGGTACGAACAACACCAAATAAGGTATGAGCCTGATGACGGTGTTCAAACAAGACAAAATAATATGTGATTCTAATAAAAAGTGGAGAGTTAAATAACACCTTAACCCTTAAAATAATAAATGGCCGGCAGTTTCATTTCCCCCCAGGGATTTTTCTCTAATGGATTTTAATTTGACAGATTTGGGTAGACAGGAATAGCTTACTCAAGAATGAAAAAACTCCCTATTCTATATTTTATTACTTTAATAAATAATAAATAAAAAATAAAATAAAATAAAATAAAAAAAGCGAAAAAAGGAGCGAAAGGGTGCCCATCCAAGTGCTAACCCTCCCCCAACGACCTTGACTCTGCAGTATCTGAACGACAACGATTTATCCACTGAGCCACGGTTCC